TCCTTTCACTTACCCCTCCCTAGCCCCCCCTTCCTGATGTCAAACAAAAGACACCTATGTTCAAAAACAGAAACTAGGTTTATTGAACAAAACTGGGGAGGGATGAACCTCTGGGGAGAGGGGAAAAGAGTGGGTGGGAGAGGAGAGGGGGAAACCTGGGAGGAGGGAGCTGGAAAGGGGAAGCTCAGGGCCCAGGGTTGGGGGTCTCGCCGGACCGACTTGATTTTCATGCAAACCTGCTCCTGGGTTCACATGCAGCCTTCAGTGGCCAGGCTGGTAGCTATCCTGCCACATGGACTGTCCCCCCCAGGATGCAGTCCAGTGCCTCGAAGTAGGGCACACGTCTGCCCCTGCTGAGGAGGTGCCCCGAGTGGCCCTGATGTATCCCTGCTGCAGCTCTTTAATTTTCAGGAGCATCTGCTCCTGGGTGTGCCTGTGGCCTTTCTGGGCCATGGTGGCAACTATGCGGCAGTAGATGGCCGCATTCCTCCATCTAGTGCAGATCATGGACATTGGGGCACCCCTCCCCCCAAACCTGAATAAGGTCCATGATCTCCACCCTGGACCAGGAAGATGCCCACCTTCTCCAGCCCCGTCAGGCTGTGGGGGGGGGGCGGGCTGCCAGTGGCTTGCTGGCTCATGTTTTGGGGCCACTGGGTCAGGGGCCCTGGTGGCCACTGATGGCTCTGGGCTGGTAGCCTTGGAGCTGGCACAGGCACTGTGGCCAGAGTCTACCCCTTTAATGGCTCCGGTGATGGGGGGAAGAGGAGAGTAAGTTTTCCTGGTTGTGCCCAGAGTGGCACCCAGGGCTCCCTGGGAAGGGCTGGAGGCCCCCATTTTGAATTAAGTGTCTACACAGCACTTAATTCGAAATAGCTAGAATGAGGTTTACCAAATTCGAATTAAGCGCTCTGCTATTTCGACATTAATTCGAAATAGTGGTTTGCATGTATAGACACTATTAAAGTTAATACGAAAGAAGAGCTGTTATTTCTAATTAACTTTGCAGTGTAGACATACCCAGAGTGGGTGACTGAGAAGTTGCTGCCTAGATCCTTCTGTGACTGCCTGAACAAATAAGGAGTTTGGTGTTAGAAGGGTGTAAATAGAAATAGTACTTTTTATCTCTCTTTGGGGTAGAGGTGCACGTTGCCAACATATGCTTTTTTAGGGATGTCAACATGTATACGACTACAATTAATCAATAAGCTTGGGCTTCTTAGTTAATACTATTGACTACATGCATTCCCCCCTTGCTGCCCCTATAGAGGCAGCAATGGGGGGGGAGGGGGCAGGAGCTGGCATCCCCCACCCCCTGCTGCTGTCTCTGATAGAAAGGCAGCAGAGCAGAGGGTAAGGGGGGCAGGCGAGAGCCGATATGAGTGGGGAGCTGGCTTCTAAGCTGGGACACCACGTGTGGGTGGAAAGCCAGTTTTTAAACTGGCTCCTACCTGCCACCCGGCACTGCTGCCTCCAATACAGAAGCAGCAGCGCAGCATGGGGCAGCAGAAGGCATGGGACTGGGAGCACACTGGTTGCTGGCCCTGCCTACGAAGACTATCTAATAGTTGTGTAACCACTAAATTTTGACACAGTTACACAACTATTCAATTACACACTATTTAACATCCCTATACTGTACATTCCTCACTGGTTCCAATACACTGCCATTGACCAGTACTCTCTGGCTGGACTTTGTGTGCTGCTGGATGTTCAGGACCTCGCATTGTGTGTACCCCGGACAATCTCCTAGAACAGTGTTTCCCATCCAGTGGTACGAGTACCCTTGGGGTACTCGAGAGAAGTCTGGGGTAGGGGGAGGATGTGTCAACACAACTGAAATTTGGAGAAAACTGCATTTGTTTTAAGTTTTATAGTGCTTCATTATTTTTGTACTTTTTACACCCAAAAATTTCACCACCCACCTGGCTATGATTAAGATGTTTAAAGAAATGTGTTGCAATGGTAGAAAAAAATTGTGCGTCTAAAAACTGTAGGTACTGGGGGTACTTACATTTTTTTGTTTAAAAAAGGGGTACTTTATTTAAAAAAAAAAAAAGGTTCAGAAACACTGTCCTAGGACATCTGGAGCTCCTCTGCCATGTAGCAGCTCTCAAAACCTCTTGTGGTCACCCAGAAGCAGGGATAACAGCCTTCTCAGGAGGTGGAGGAGGATAACCTTGCTAGTAGTGGTAGCTCATGGCGGTCAAGTGAAAACGAATTATTCTCTTGGGTGGAAAAAGCAACTCTATTAAATTGCTCTACCCAGGGTATCATGCTTATGGATCCCATGGTGTGACTGGGTAACAAAATGGCAGATGAAATTAAATGCTGATAAATGTAAAGTAATGCACATTGAAAAACATAATTCAAACTATACATAAAATATGATGGATTCTAAATTAGCTGTTACCACACTCAAGAAAAAGGTCTTACAGTCATTGTTGATAACTCACTGAAAATAACTTCTCAATATTCAATGGCAGTCAAAAAAGCTAACAATGTTAGGAACCATTAGGAAAGGGATAGATAATAAGTCAATAAATATCATAATGCCATTATATAACTCCATGGTATGATTATACCTTGAATATTGCATGCAGTTGTGGTTGCTCTGTCTGAAAAAAGATATTAGAAACGGAAAGAGTACACAGGGCAACAACAACAAAATGTGAAGTATGGAAAAGCTTCCATATGAGGGGAGAAGAAAAAGACCGGGATTTTTCAGCTTGGAAATGATGACTAGAGGAAGAGATGATAGAAATCTATAAAAATTACAAATGTTGTGGAGAAAATGAATAATGGAATATTAAATACTACTTCACATAATACAAGAATCGGACGAGGGTTTCATCTAATGAAATGAATACTCAGCAGGTTTGACACAAACAAAAGGAAGCATTTTCTTTGCAGAACACACAGAGTTCACCTGTGAAACTCACTGTCAGGCTATGTTAAGGCCAAAACTAAATGGGTTCAAGAAAGAATCATGGTAGATAAGGATTGGCCCATAGATGGCTATTATTCAAGATAGCTAGTAATGCAACCCCAAGCTCTGGGTGTCCCTTCATCTCTAACTACCAGATGCTGAGACTGGATGACAGAGGATGGTCACTTGATAATTGCCCTGCTCTGTTTATTTCCTCTGAAACATCTGGCATTGGCTGATGTTGATACTGTGCTATATGGACCATTGCTATGACAACTTGATCATTCCTATTTTATGTTCTTAAGGACAATGGGCTATGGAATAAACGTATGCAACATAGCTCAATGAACAACAGTTATGGAAAGGTAGTTAAGCACAATCAAGGTATAATCATATCATGGAGTTATATAGTGGCATTATGATAAGAATGTGACTTAGGTCATCTCCATGCCTTGTGAATTCTTGGGCTCTTTGCTCAGATGTTGAATTAAGGAAACTTCTCTGGACTCAACACTTGTCCATTGGCTACTGCACCAACACCAGCACACAGCCATCAAATAATAATACTTTTTGGTAATTGTCCAAATCTGTATGAATTTAATAGATCTCTTCTATATGATGGAATTTAATGGACACTTAAAAGTTAGACTAACATAAATAACTATCCATCAGGGATATGCAAAAAACTACTCATGACTGATATAGCTGTCCTGACCTAACCTCCAGTATAGGTACAGTAGATGAATAGCCAATATCTTCAAACCCAGTCCATTATGTTTCTAAAGGGGTTGGCTAGGCTACACCCGAGCTTCAATTTAGTTCTGACAAAGTTTGATGGCTCCCCATTTTGAGCCACAAGCAACTTGTTCCCTGTTACTTCTATCAAGGAAAGTGTTTCTTAGTCATGATTACCTTGCCTAAGAGAGTAGGAGAGCAGTGATTCCAGGTGTCAGAACCTCCCTAAACAGTGTTGTGCAAAGATAAGGTTTTCCTTTGATTTTTAGCAGAAATTCCTCACTAAATGGCTTCTTATTTTTCACATTAGTCAAGAAGTTTACTTACTAGTCTTCTAAGTCTCACTGAGGCAAGTGGGAAGATAATCTGCATTTTCTAGATCTCAGAAATATTTGTCAGCTCCAGGCTTTTTATCTGTATCAGACTAGACTATTCAGGTATTTGCCTCATTACTTTCTGAAATTGCAACAGATAGCTAAGGGCCATCCAGTGTCTTCTCAGATAATCTTCTCCTGTATTTCTGGTTGTATATGTCTGTGCTACTGTTCTATGGATATAGAATGTCTATCTAAATTGGTGACTCACTCAACTAGATCAGAGACAGCTTTCATGACCTTTTTGCTTTGGTGCCCATACTGGACATCTGTAAAGTGGCATCCTGGTCTTTGATCCACACATATACCTCCCATTATACCATCAGTCATTTGTCTAGTGACAGTGCCAGATTTGGGCAGGTGTTCCTGCAATCCTTGTTCAAATAGACTCTAACCCCCTCTTCAGTTTGAGCTGCCTGTGAGTCCCCCACAGTGGAATGGACATATGCAATCACATTCTTATAAGTGGACCCAGTAGGCAAGGGCTAAGGTATGTGACTGGGCCAGTTTGTGAAAATTTAAACAGTCAGATTCTTTAGCTAAACAAAGACTTCAGTCTTTAATGTTTTCAACCTGACACCTTATTTTAAAATAAGCAGTGTTTATGAAAAGAAAAACTGATTTAACACATTTGAGGCCTTAGTTTTTATGCAGAATTGCTTGTGTTTGTGCAGTTAATTTTTTTCATAAGTGTTTGTAGGATCAGGTTTTAAAAAATAAGTCCTATAGTGCAATTATTAAATCTAACAAATAAAATAAGTCCATTTTATTCAATTATACAACTGTTACCTATCGCAAACCAATCATGATCATGTACATAATTTAGTATCTGAATTATTGAAATATATGTACTTTCAATAATGCACCTACTAAGGAATAAATCTCTTAAAGAATCAGAGTTAAAAATGTCCACAGTACACTAATCTCTAGAAATGAACCTATGAACATAGCAGTAAACTCACTTGTCTGCCAGCAGGTTTGACAGTTTCCACGGTGACAAGGTTCTTCACATCTATGAAGGCCACAATTGAGTTTGCGTCCACAAACCAAGGGACACTTATGTTCTTTGTCCTGGGGAAAATATTTATCAAAAATTTCTACATTATCAATGCTTTCCACCACCACCCTCTAAAACGCCATCCAAAATGGCAAAACATGATTAAAACCACTACTGGCTATGGCTATGTTACTGTACCAAGGATCAAAGAAATTAACAGTCAAGATTTTTGTCATATGACATACTGAACATCTGAGATAAAATGGGAATTTTCTCTAGTATTTTCAAGAAAACTATGTATACCTCACTTTCTCCATATACTGCAATGGTAACTATTAGGGAGGAGGGTCTGTACGTTCTCAGGGCAGGCTAAAGACACAAGTGAGAGTGGTGCCTTGTTACCGGCTGGTCCACCACTTAGCTGTCTGGGCCTAAGTGGACCTTAATCCCCTTTCTCAGTGGAGAAACAGTGACAACAACAACAAATCACCTGGATATTGAAACCTGACAACCAAGGATCACAGATGATCCCACCTCTCTCCAGGAAGACAACAGCACTTTCCTACCTTTTGAACAATGGAGTCAGTATTAGATGAGAGTTAAGCTCTATACGAATCAGGGGTTGTTTACCAGGAAGTCAGACTGAGGTGGTCAGATTGAGGCATCTGAAAGGATTGCTGTAACTTTCATTTCTAGGGCACTACCAAATTCATATTCATGACAAATGCATCACAGACTGAAATCAGACCTTCCCTATGAAATCCAGCTATTGGAGGAGAAGGAAATGGAGAGAAAGGGCAGGTGTGGAGATGCACCAGTAGAGAGATCCCTCAAGGCTTTGGGCTCCAGCTGCTAGTTTCCTTCTGGCTGGGAGGTACGTGACTTACTCTTTCTCTTCGGCTATTTTTGGGGTGTGGGCATCAGACCCACGTCTGGGTACTTACTACAGCTACAGTAAGCTGTGGGACTGCAGCTTCCTATAGCTGCAGGAGGTTGGGTCTGATCTTTCCTCAAGAGCTATCATATAGGGAAGGGCAAATTCTGACCCTCCCCAGCTTGGAGGAGACTAGAAGCCAAGAGCACGCCCAGAAGCACAGCGAAAAATCAGACCCACCTCCAACAATCTCCTGCAGCTGCAAAAAGCTGCAGGGCCTTCAGAGCACAGCTCTGAACACAGTGCAGAAGTTAGGGTATGTCTACACTACCCCCCTAGTTCGAACTGGGGGGGTAATGTAGTCATACGGAGTTGCAAATGAAGCCCGGGATTTGAATTTCCCGGGCTTCATTTGCATAAAGCCGGCCGGCACCATTTTTAAATGCCGGCTAGGTCGGCCCCCGTGCCGCGCGGCTACACGCGGCACGGACTAGCTAGTTTGGATTAGGCTTCCTCGTTCCACGTACAGCTAGTTCGGATAGGAAGCGTAATCCGAACTAGCTAGTCCGTGCCGCGTGTAGCTGCACGGCACGGGGTCTGACCTAGCCGGCATTTAAAAATGGCGCCGGCCAGCTTTATGCAAATGAAGCCCGGGAAATTCAAATCCCGGGCTTCATTTGCAACTCCGTATGACTACATTACCCCCCCAGTTCGAACTAGGGGGGTAGTGTAGACATACCCTTAGAGTGGCAATCCCATAACAGACCTGTAACAGTTTTGTGGCCTATCGTGAATCTCCTTTTAGATTTAGACCCCCATGGTTACAACTCCATGAAGTTTCAGATGTAAAAATTTGAAAATGTGGTATTGACCAGAATGGACCTATTCATTTTCAATGCTAAGGCTTTCCTATGCTGCACTCTGATCATCTAATTAACCCTAGTTTGACGCCAGCTGAAGATCACTGAAGATGCTGGCTGAGGTGCACAGCTCTCTAAGATTTGTACAAATCTCCCTCAAAGGTCTGTCTCAGTGGGACTTGCTGAACAGAGCTCATGGTGTGAAGTAGAGTGCTGGGAGGACAAGAAGTCAGTCTAAGGAGACAGTGAAACTGCACAGCTTAGCCTGGAGGAAGAGACCCCAAGGTCTCTGGCACGCTGAAGCGGTCCTCCCTGAGACTATTCAAAACTGGGGTCACAGAACCAATTCTGTGGATCTATTACAATATCTCAAAATTCCAGTTGAACAATATCAACTTATGACTAGCATACATAATGTTTTATGCTGGTATAGGATTTGTATTTGGTTAGGGGGTGAGAATTCTTTTTTAAACCCAAGTTATTTTGTACAATCCCTAGCATAGTCACAGTTATATTGATATGGATGGCTTATATCATCACAATTTACTCTGCTTCCCATATGGGATAAGGCACATTTATACTCCCATAATTGTGTCCATACTAGGTGATTGTACTGCTTTAAGTATACTAGTATAGTTCAAGTGGTACAGCTTGTGTGTTGATAAGCTCTTAGTTACACAATCACACTTGGGTGCCATAATCCCAAACATGTTTTGAACCAAGTGTAAGGATAAATATTTTAACCTTACAAAACAGGGAATCTATCTCTGAGCCGCCTTTTCAACATGGTATTTTTTTTAAAAAAACAAAAGTACAGTTTAACACTACATTATTTTTACACTGTATAAATGAACTTACCACACAACAAATTTCATTACACTTGTGTCGTCCACATGACCGTTTCTTGTTACATCGCTTGTCACACATAAATGTAATATCGGCTGTTCAAGGAGAAAAAAATAATGTGTTAGTCTTTATAATTTCAACATTTAACCTTTGACTACATATTACGTAATAGCAATAAGAAAATGCATGTAGTACAACCACACTAAAATTAATGTAAGTAATGCAATGAAGAAAATAGGGTACATTCTTACAGAAGCAGCACAAATCACTAAACAGAGAGGCTATTATAATAAGGATTTGACACTGGACCAAACTGTCTTTTATATTTCGTTTGAGACAAACCTAATGGCATATTTTTGCCTTTTTTCTCATTAGCATCAATATTAAAATGATCAATATTTCCAATATTTGGTTCTTAGACTGTTCAAACAGGTTTCAAATTGTAAACTGACAATACACTGATTAAATGTTATGAGCAAAAAGTCCCTGTAAATGGTAAGTTACAAGAGAAGTGGAGTCACTAGTGAAGTACTTCCACAGGCTGAGGCTGTAGCATTTGAGTTTACATTCAAATACCTACAACAGTACCTAAGCATGCCTGCAGAATAATGACAATTACTGATCAAAGCATAATTTGGAAGTATCAATACATTAAGATACTTAGAACTACTTAAACATATTAAGAAAGTAGTTTATGAAACAGCTAATGAATTTTAAAAATCTGAAAATTTGACCGTCTTTATGTTGCTACATAAAGTAGGGAATATTAGTTACCGGTAACACTGTTGTAGTCTCCTCAACTCCCATCCTACAACACTGAATTCAAAGACAGTGTTATGGTGACACCTACTGGAAGCAGGGAGACAAAGAATTCTAAAACCCTGCCCCTGATTCCATAAGTCTCAGCCAAAACTGCATCCCATCAGGAAGAGAACTTCCATATCTACAGAGAAGGAAACAGTATGAAAGACAGAAAGAAATAAAACAAGCAGCAAAACAACACCCAAAGGAGAGGTGGATGAGATATAGTATAGAAGAGGAGAAGATGGACAGAATTACTGGTCATTTCCCCTCTTGATTGTACATCTCTCTCTTCTATCCTACAACATTGGATTAAGGCACAAAAAGAAGATGCGGCAATCAGTGACCTCACGAGGTGGGACTACCTTAATATACCACTATCAGGTCCTTGCCGCCAAAGGAAGTATCCTGAGAAGTGGTGATACTTAATAGATGACAATTTATAAAGGAGTGCAGAGATGATCATGCTGCTGTCTTATACACCTTGTACATAAAAGCTTCAGCATGTTCACTTCTCATGAAGATTTCTCTATCTACATAGATTCCAACAAGCTTATCGGACAGTCTGGTCATATGCTTTAAGAATACAGAGTAAGACTCATCTGGCAAAAACTATGGTAGCTGCAGCATTATCATTGTAACTCCCCTTTGACATTCTCATCTCTGAGAATAAGATAAAAGCTAGCAATACGCTTATCAGCCAATAAATGCATTTTCTGGTTGTGGGTGGAGAATACTAGATTAGGACTGAGAGAAGAATAATAGGTAGAACATGGTATTCATCCTGTAAACAAATTCTGAAAGAAGCCAAAAAACATCCTTCTGGAAAACAGGGGAGATAAGGAGGAGAGAAGATGAGAGTTCAACTTATTCACTCACCTGAGATCACTCTAATAAGAAAAAAAACAGCTTAAAGGAAATAATTTTGTCTTAAGACCTCTGATGAGAGTTGGTTGCAGCAATATCTACATGGATGAGGCTCAAATTCCACTGAGGGATCACCAGATGAATCACTGATCTTTGATACCTTTTCTTGAATTCCAACAAAAGGAAATCCAAAACATCATGGTACCATATCAGACCACAAACAAAATTCCAGCTTTGAGAGCAAGAGAGGTAACCCACATTCTGTTGCTCTCCAGACAGTGGAGAAGCCTCTCTCTAAGAAATGGCTCCTTTCAAGCTGAATTAAGGCAGTTTGAAATGAAGCCAATTATAAAACAGGATCTGGGGGTGGGGTGGGGGGGAACTTCCAGTATTTTGGGGAGCACTAATAACTAATAAGCTCATCAAGTCAAAATCATCAACAGCAGAGTAATTGTAAAACAGAATCACAAATCCACATCAGCCTTAGCAGCAGGGAAAGCAGCACTAGAGTTTTCTACTCTACCTCTCATTTGAGGGACACAAAAACTTGTAGGACACAGATACAATTCTGATGGATAGTACAGGTTAAAAGAATTCAGTCTTGTGTGCATGCAAAGAACAGTGGTATAGATCTTTTTTCTTCCAATGACTTTGCACTAAGTAAGAATACTGCAGAACTCTGTGGCCTACAGAACAATCCAGACTGCCTGAAAACTAAGAATTTTTCAAAACTGAACTTTCGGGTCTCCTAAATTCACCATATCCAGAATGGCCTGGAATCAATTGTTACTCTGCACCTGTCCTCAGTACACTCATGGCTTCCTGTATCATAAACCTGATTAGCGAAACTCAGGAAAAGCAGCCCCAAATGTGAAAATATCCGTCATCCAAGCACATTAAACATTGACTACAAGTGTCTGAAATGAGAAATTCTAAGCAATAAGACATGCTGTCTTCACTATTCCTAATGGTTAAACACCATTGACTAAAGTCTCCCACAACAAAAACAAAGGACATTTCTTTTGAGAGAAAATCAAAGGATCAAAAAGTTAAAAACTATGGCATCCACCCAAAACAGACTATTCAACAGAAATAACAGACTCCATTACCAATAAGCAATTGACTAGATATATTTTGTGGGCTTTTTTGTTTATTTTGCCTCTCTCTGAAGCATCAGAGATTGGACACAGCTACAGAGAGGACATCAGCTAGGGAGGGACCAGTGGTCTGAGACAGTACACAGAATCCATTTTAGAAGTCTGACTAGTGTGTCTTGCTCATAATGCTCAAGGTTATACAGATTATGAACACGAAATCTGGGGCTGGGTAGGACGACTTCTCTGCCAGATCGACAGGAACCTTAATTTTTTTTTTTTTTTTGCCTATCTCTGTAGCATGGGATTCACCTGCTGAAATCATCTGGGCGGATCTCACCTAATCAATTCCTTGCCATTGCAGTGGCCTCTCCTGGTGGTGGCAGCTTAAATTTCTCCCATTCTGTGCCCATGACACACAGTATACTCTACTAAGGAATTAAATGTTTAAGACTTAATAGAGTGTTTGGGCTTAATATGGATTGGCATTACAACCCACTTAGAAAATTTTGCTTATGAAAATTTGAAACAATAAGAATTTTAGGAGGTGAAACTAAAACTTAGACACATTTTATGCTGCACATTTTCTGTTAACTTTTAATAACTTCTATTATATAAAATACTACATTTAGGTTTAAGATTGCACGAGTGTATTTTGACAATAGTGAAAATCCTAGAAAAAGGGTGCAAACTTCAGAAAATAAGGTTAAGTAACTGGAGAAGTCTGTCTGAAAAGTTCTAAAGGACTTTCCCCCATTAGATCACAAATACAGATTTAATAAAATATCAGACCATAAGGAGAAGGAACCAACTATTTGCACTAGAAATTTCCAACACTTAAAGCACGTAAAAGAGTATACCAATGTATGTACTATTATATGTATTCTTCTGCAGATTTAATGAAGCAGCCAACACACACAATTTGATTCCAAAGTTTAAAGATGTTGATCTTATATAAGTGAACAAGAGTATTAAACATCTAAAATAAACTTTTGAAACAAATCGAGACAAATAATATAAAGAAAGTAGTAACACAAAACCAAAGCCTGCCAACTTTGCACATTAAATCAAAATATTGTGAAGTGGATGAAATGGACTATATTCTTCATACAATCTTCATCCGCATCTGATCTCTTTGTCCACATACTTCATATATTAAATCAAAGTAACAAACTCCAAAAAACCACATCAGTTTGAGTAGAATGTTTTTAAAGCTTCTACTTTATAAAGACGTACGCCGTTAGAGGAGTACAACTACTTACCTTTATTTTTGAGGAGGGCACATGGGACTTCCTAAGAAACAGATAGGATAGGATTACATCACAGCAAATTAAAGGACGCTACAGCTTAATGCTCTAAAAAGCTAACTACATATAGTAAGGGGAAAAAACTCAAGCAATTGGTTTTTAGCCACTACAAATATTTACACACACAGTAAGTGGGACAAAGAACCCTCATCATAAAGGGGGGGGGGAAAGGAGGTTACTGACCTCTAACAGGATATTCTAAACCCTATCTGTATTCTACACAACTATAGACATGCACACAATGTGCCTGTGTCCAGAGATTTCTAACAAGTAGTGTCCATTCGGCCAGCAAGTTTTTCTTTTTATGCTGCGAACTGTTGGTATAATAGGCAGTGCTAACCAATGCCTCTCTCCATAGCAGAAGTATCTGAAGCAGAGGGGAAGGAAACAGCATAATGGAATACAGATAGAGACCTGATAGTTTGAACAACCTCCAATTACAGGTCAGTAACCTCCATCTCTTGTCCAGTTTAGGTACCTGTCAAAAAGATGGTGTTGAGGTTGCTTGTACTCTATTCAGGGGAGGAGTGTGTCTCAAATGGACACAGGAGATACAGCAACAGATTCAGCTATAGAGTCTCCTTGCAACTGCTTCACTACAGTGGTAGTCTTAGTGATTTACTAACTGATTCTGTACTTTGCACATAGACCAAGACCAAGACTTGTCTTATGTCTGAAGAGTGAACTCTCCTCCCCTCTTTGGAAGTATGAGATTTTGGAAAGAATGCCATTAAGCAGATAAGTCAACTGATGCAAAGCTCAGAAGTTATGTTAGGGATGAATTTCAGCTAAGGCACAAAGGGAAACCTTTTTCTGATGAACACAGCAAAACCACAAGTACTCCCAGTTGGCTCAGTCATCTGGCTTATGCAATAGCGCCTAAAAAGGTGACCTTTATGGGAAGCTGGGATGTGGAACATGCTGCCAGTGATTCAAATGGTGATTTGGTAAGTACTGATAGTCCAAGGTTGAAGTTCCATTGTGGTGCAGTTTTCACCACTAATGAAAAGATCCTATCATAGTCTTTTCAGGGATCTAATTGTTGTTGGGTCAGTAAGAACTGAATATCGTTCTCCTAAAGGACAAAGGATAGCTGCTTGTTACACTCGCAAGGTATTAAAGAAAAGCCCCAAGATGGTCTGTCCAAGATAACAAAAGTATCACCCCTGAAACCATGGTCCAGGTCTGCTCTGGAATAGTAAAGGGTGAACTTTTTATTTGTTTTGGATGTGAACAGACCCCAGGATAGCGTGAAGATCTTGCTCAGAATAGAATTGTGCATCTCCTCCTCGTGATCTATGGCAAAGTGCTTGCTGAGATTGTCTGCTAAAGAATTTTGTACATCTGGTAGGTACATAGTCAAGAGAATGTGATTTCTGATGCACCAATTCCATATATTAACAGCTTCTAACCAGAGAGGAAGGGATTTTTACTCCAATTTGTTTTTGTCAAGGTCAGTCATTATGATACCTGACAGTATTTGAAAACTGTGGGACTCAATAAGTGGGAGGAATGCATTGCAAGCAAGATGGACTGCTCTCTGCTCTAGCTATGGATTCTTGCCTCCTGAGGAGCCAAGTGCTTTGTGCATTGCATTTTCCAGGGGGTCTCTAATCAGGGATACAGCATCAAAAGAAAGGTTACATCAGGTATGGAGATAATTAAAGAAACTCCCACACATACCTGTTCTGGATTAATCTATCAAGCAAGAAAAGCTGTAATCTTGGTGCAAGTTGTTACTCTGGTGTTTATGTGGTCTCTGGTGAGTAAATAGAACAGAGTCAGTCTTCTAAGCAATG